TAAATTTAAATAAAAATGATTTCCAAATTCTAGACTGCTTTAAGGATCAGTTCAATCTCTCTCATTTGTTTCAAGCTTTAGCTCTTGGAATACTGCTAAATTATTTGATTAGTACCTCATTTCTTAAACTTGTGTTCCTTAAATATTATTCCAAAGTTGTTTCCTAGTCAAAAATGTTGGGAAAGGCTTTCTCTGTAGCTCCATCTTAGAATGTCACTGTGTACATGAATATAATAAGGTTCTGAGAAAGCCTGGAATATAGGATCTAACTACTTCCCAAATATATTGAACATAGAACACTTTTTGGTGGCACGTCTCTTTCACTAGTATGGTAAAGGGCAGTGTTTGGACTTTACATCAAGAGTTCTAGGTTTCTGGTCCATAGAACAAGGTCTCACTCCATCATTTCTCAAGGGAAGTGATTTTGCTCCTCTCCCTCAAACCCCAACGGACATTTTGCTCATCACAAATTGGAGGTTTGGGGTTTCTGGCATCTAGTGGATAAATGCTAAATATCCAACAGTGTGCAGGGCATGCTCCACAGGAAAGGGTTACCTGGTCCAAAAGTTCGATAGTGTTAAGGTTGAGAAATCCCACTCCAGGAGACTGAGAAAAAGGCTGAATCCTGGTCTTTTAGAAATGAGACTATCCTGAAGTTAGTCTGGATCCTCTCCCTCCCTAGAGAATTAGGGAGAGAGAGCAAGACAGGGCATCTTTAACTGAAACTGCAAGCCAAGCTGGAGCATGGTCATAGGGACAGGACAGATGGCCAATTATTATAGTTGAGCACCAAGCAGTGGGACTGACTTGGTCCTAAACCTCTAACATTGCTGATTGATCCAGAGTTTTTGAAATCATCCCCGGAGGAAAGGAAAGAAAACCTACACTAATGCTTCCAATGGAGCAGGAACTATGCTGGTTTTCGTGCCTATTTTATCTCTGTTGATTCTAACATCCCTGTGAGAGAGACATTTTCAGAGATAAGGAAACAAGAGTCGATGATGAAATTGCCCTGCATTTTTGTAAAACTCTGTCATGAGCTTGTGAATTCCTTAGGGGTAAGATTGGGTCTTTCATTCTTGTTTTCCTAATATGGTTACTGCTGTATATTAAGTGCTAAATAAATGTGAATGAATAAAATAAATAAAGAGTAAGAAAAGTCATCTAGCTAGAAAGTGGCAGAAGTAAGATTCAAATTCAAGCCTGATTCCGCCCTTGTTAAATAAACTTTTAGTTTTGTAAACATTTTAGATATATAGAAAAGTTGCAAAGGTAACATGGAGAGTTCTTATATACCTTACATCCAATTTCTCTTACTGTTAATATCTGATATAACTCTGGTACATTTGCCAAAACCAAAAATTGACTTTGGTGAATTACTATTAACTGAACTCAAGACGTTATTCAGATTGCACCAGCTTTTCCACTAATATCCCTTTTCTGTCCCAGAATCCATCCAGGTTCCCACATTATATTAAGAACATTTGCATTTTTTTCTGTAACATACTCCAGAGTCTGGATGAGGTGGAATCTACAGGTGTACATCAAGGGTGCCATCTAAGAGTGTCAAATGGTTAGTTATAGGGCAGAAAAGCAGACCAGAACTTACAATTCCTGCTCTTAAATGGAGACCTCTGTCAGTCTCTTACTAGTCATCCCAGCAAGTTGTACTCAGAATTGTAATTTTCAAAAGGAAAAGTAGAAAAATAGTTGTGAACAAAATCATTAAATTCTCCATTTAGATGTTCAAGACATTTCAAGTATGTACTATTGATTAGTTTTCAGTCATTGATTAATATATACACAAATGAAAAGATCTTGTACAATTTTAAACTGTGAATTACAAACCTTGTAATTATAACATTAAAAACCCTACTAATTAGGCTAATAATAATATATCGCCTTGACTAAAATTCTAGAACCACCTTCCATTCTACAAAAAAAAAAAAAAAAAAACTTAAGTGTGAACTCACACCAGCATTTGGTGTCCTTTGTGCTGAAGTTCTATGTAGAGACAGGTTTGATAGCCCTATCACCTGTGTGCTACTGGCGAGGGACACTTAAATCCAAAGTGATATCACCAGTAAATAGCTTTTCGATGTTTTATCATTCCACATCATCTACCAGTGACTTTTCAATCAGCGTCATATATTGTAATCCTACTGTCTGTCTGGCCATAGAGAAAGAAACGGTCTTTTTCTTCATTTGTCTCTTTCACAAGGGCTTGGTTCTTCAGGACAGCTGATTTGCAAGGGTTCTAGATTCTCATCCACGAAAAGGGAATGGGGAAGGTGGAAGGTTTAGGCAGAACTACCTTTGAGCTTTAAATACTTTTACTAAAACACTATAGCTACCTCCATTTTTAATGAGAGAAATAACTTTATACTTTACCTTTAGCAATACCCTTTAAAAAATAATTTAAAAGAAAAGAAGTGAGGGCAGAGTTGTGAACAACATAGCTAAGGGCACAAGACTAATATTGGCACATAGCTCACGCAGCTGTAGCCCTATCACCTGACTCTCAGTGCAGAGTTACTTCTCTTGTTCTACCATGTCTCCCACTCTCCCCATTTGCCTGCATGCAGGTTAATAGTACAGCCTCTGCATGCATATGCCTAGATGCAAATCCACTGTGTTACTTAACCCTTCTCTGACTTAGTTTTCTTATCTATAAAATGGGGATAATAATTATACTTCATAAGATTTTTGTGAAAATTGAGAGTTTATATAATATATGTATTATATATATTACATGCCATATATATACACATATATGTGCCACATATATACATATGTATGTGTGTAGATATATAG